CATGTATAAGCTTTTCAAGGTTTATTTTATTTTAACAATTCAACTATTTATATACTTGCACACAAGTCAGTCAGGACCTTAAAAATTACTTGAAAAGTTGAGTAACAGCACTCACAGACTCCATAGCAGAGGTTGGTATGAGGTAAGGGTCATCTTGAAATACATAAGGCACAGCCGTAGGGTCCTGTGGAAAGGCACACCTTTTTAGATTTTCACTGAAACTCTCCAAAGCTTTAGTGAAGATCACAAATTCTGCAAAGTAAAACTTTAAATGCACATCAAACATGCATGCAGGAATATGCATGGTCATATGTCTGCATATATAAAAAGAAAAAAATAAACGTCAAAAGACTTTCCCCAAATCATGACAATTTAGAGCAAGTAAGTACAAATCCCCATGGATCCATCTTACAAGGGTTTTTCTTCTCTTGGTACTAGGGATTGAACCCAGGGCTCCACAGAATTAGCATATGAGTGTTGTGTTAATCCCTCTTCCTTATTTCTTAGGCTTTCAGTCAGATGTCAGTTAGGGCTATCACAGTTTTAAATGCTAGCTAAGGACCTCCTGTAACTAGTCCCTTGACAGTTTCCTGGAATAAGATTTCCTTTACAGCACAGTCACTATGCATCCATATGCAATTTCACTTTAAGAGTTCCTTCTTACCAGGTAGTGATACTCCTTTAATACCAGCACTTAGGGAGATAGAGGCAGATGGATCCCTTTGTGTTCAAGGTCAGCCTGGTCTACAGAGCTAGTTCCAAGACAGCCAAGGCTACAAAGTAGCCTTTCTTATAAGTACCAGATGACCATGCCAGTCCTCCTATAATTTTGGTACTCAAAACACAGAAACAAAGGATTTCCAGAATACTTGCTAGCTAAACCAGCCTTTATAGGCAAACGCTTTGTTCAGTTGAGACCCTGCCTATTTGTCTGTAAATAGGCATCTGAAATGTCATTCAGAACTGTGCATGTGCTTTTGGAGACCTAAGGAGCCACCAAACCTCAGTCCCCTACCCCAGCCTCCGCCTCCCAAGTGCTAGGATCAAAAACATGTACCACCACACCTGATATAAGAACTGTATTTTGACCAGTGTATTATCATCAGTAGGAAAGACTCATGTCTTACAGTCAGAACTAAGATATCTCTACTTGGCTACTAACTCCCTCAGAAACAAGCACCTGTTTGTTTTTTTTTTTTTTTTAGTTAATTTTTATTTCATGTCATTTTTAGAAACAAGCACGTCAAACAGCTTTTCCAGTAACTTAAAAATTATTAGTATGAGCTTGGCATAGCAGCACATGCCTTTAAAAATTTTAACACTTAGCTGGAGAGATGGCTCAGCAGTTAAGCACACTGGCCAATTTTCAGAGCCAGGTTCAATGCCTAGCACCCACATGGCAGTTCATAACAGTCTATTAACTCCAGTTCCAGGGGAGTTCCAACACCCTCACACTGACATACATGCAGGCAAAACATCAATGAACATAAAATTAAAAAACAAAACAAAATAAAAATGCTTGGGAAGAGTCAGGAGAATCTCTGTGAGCTCAAGGGCAGCCTGGTCTACATATCAAGTTCCAGGACAACCAGGACTACAGAGACCTTGTCTCTGAAAACAAAATAGAAACAAACAATTATAGTACACTGTAAAAACACTCCATGGCCATTACATCATGGCCAGTCCTAGGCTGGTCATTTCACAAACCTGTTTTCCCATTTTTCAAAAGGAGGGATTAGAATAAAGAGCTATAACACTTAAATGTGTTATTAACCCAAAAAATCCTACTTACCCTGTTTACTGTGGATGCAAGTGCCTGAAGAACAGCCACTTTATCCCTAGAATAGGAACCAGAAGTTAGTCTCTATCAAGACTATTCATTCACACTTACAAAGTGAACAAGTCATTCTACTCTCAGAGGACCTTGGCCATGAGACAAGGCCTCAACAAGAGTCAGGACTTACTTATCAAAACCACCAGAACATAAGTTGGTAAGAAGCAGGCTCCACTGCAAATCCTTAAATCTCAGGAACAGGGAGGCAGAGGCTGGAGGAAGGTTTGAAACCACCTGGCTCCAGAGCTAAATAAACCTAACTCAATAATCCAGTGCTAGAGAGTAGGGTTTAGAGCTCCTGTGAGATTAGACCCTTGGCACCAAGAGTCTGGTTCTTTTGATTGGTATACATGCCTCCTTCCCTGTTTCATAAGCACTCTGGCCTGGGCCCTAACACCATTACCCAGGACTAGTGATTCCCTCTCTCACGTTACAAATCTACCTTGCCAACTTCCTCATGTATTTATAGAGAAGCTCTCTAGACTTTTGCCTTTACTACCCCAACTTGAAACTTGAAAGTAACAGCAAACATTTATTTGTCTATGTCATAGGTACTGTTTAAACCTTATGTTTTATTACAATAAACATCCAACCACTAGTTTAATGAATAGTAAATTAATACTCACCATGTTTTCTTTTTTGGAATGACTATTTCTTCAATCCCTTACAAGATAAAAATAAAAACAATTAGTTTCCTAACACTACAAAGAAATACAATGTGTAATTTTTTTTGTTTGTTTCTGTTTTTAAATAACGTTTCCAGTTTTAAAAATACCTGTTGCATTTGTTCCTTCAACCTTTGGGAGGGATGCACTTCCAGGATAAAATCTGCATTAAAATAACAAACAGCAAAAAATCACTAATGTTAATACTGCTCATGAGTGAAGTTCTCAGCTCATTTCCTGCATGCGTACATTCTGGGCTACATTTTCTAGTTATCATGAACCAAACACACTAGATAGTATATCTCACACCACGATCAAAACATCAAGTTCAATGCAAGAAACAGATGGTCAAGACTGATTGATTGATTCATTTATTTGTGATGTTAGAAATTAAACCAGAACCTTGCCCATGCTAAGTCAAGCTCTGGAAAATCAAGCTATAGTCTCAGCCAAGATTTTTTTAAGCATGAAATCTCATCACAAAATAATCAAGATCAAAACTGCAAAATTTAATAGCACTGGAACAATCTGAACAGCTAGTTTGAAATATACAGAAATTAACCTGAAAAAGACAAGGATCAATTCAGTGAGTTGTTGCTTTTAATAGACAGCACTCAGATAGGAAACAAATGCTTATTCCACTCAAAGTATTTAAAACAAAGCTAAGATCACCATGGCTTTATAATCCACGACTTTTAACAACCAAAAATGTACCAACAACACAAGGCTTTTAACTGCTATATTCTCAGATGCCCCCACCCTTTTGACCAATATTGGCCCGTTGCCAGCCTGGTCTACAGAGTTCCAGGACAGCCAGGACTTATCTCATTGGTATCCCAAAATAAAATGAAATAAATCAACAAATATAATGAGTAGTTAATGTTATCTTGTGTCTTCCGTTCTTAAAGGGCATCCGAATTACTCAGAATATTTATATGTAATCACAGAGTTAACTATGTCATCCACTGGTACCTGATCTAAGGTATCATTTTACTGAAGCTTTTATTATTTTGTTATTCTCTCCTTCCAACTTTATATGGGCTCCATCATCAAACTATAATGGAGGCTTGTATGACAAGCAATCTCTAGCTACTGGGCCCTCTCTCTGTCCTTCAGGCAACATTTTAAAGCAATACCTCTCTGTGGCAGGGACATTTTAGAAGTGGATCAACTCTTCCAAGTTAATGTTATCAAATGACATCAAGAAGAGATCATCTTATGTTGACAGAAAGAAGTAGCCACCGGGTAAAGAAAACAGGCAGCAATGGATAAAGTAGGTACAAATATGTACTATAAGTTACATCTCATTCATTCCCTATAGTTCTTTCAGACAGTTATTACTAGTTAAAATTCACTTTAGAGAAATTGTCTACTATCATCCAACTGAAGAAAAAGGCAAACACCGAATATAAAAATTTTCCTTGGGTTTCGAATTTTAACTCAGCAGTAGAGTGAGTAATTAAGCACGCATGAAGCCTCGGAACCAATACACAAAAGTAAAATTGGGTTTCAAGTTTTTATTACACCTAACTGCCTCACACTTCCACCAGGCCACTGTTTGAGGGGTGTAAAGTGAAATTACGTAAATATCTGCAACACTGTCCCAAGTTGTAACTATCACAAGATCGAAAGAGAAGGGTCAGGCAATTTTAGGCTTTCCTGTTTTTACTAAACCCAAATTTTCTCAGCTCAAAGTTCTCATACCATTCGGTCCATTCGGGGAAAATCTATTACTTCGCCCTTTCCTCTTGGCAGAGTTAAAATGAATACGGTAGACGGGTTAAAGAAATTTGTGAAGGGGCTTATAGAAGCACTCGCGGAAATGTAAACTTCACAAAAACAGGGCCCCACTTTAAAGGGAAATTTTAACTTCATAGAGTACTATAACCAACCAATAAAAATCTCCCGAACCAATAAAAATCTCCCGAAAGAATACACGCTGTTCGAAACTTATCTCAAGCCACCGCCACCTCGTGCTCCCCTTGAGGGCTCGCGGCCTCCAGCATGCAGACACGGTTGCACAGTACTTAGCTCCACAACTCTCAAGGAAATGCAAGGTCAAGTTGACCCCGGGTCTTCCTACCTGCAGCAGAGCTTCGCTTCACCGACACCCGCCCGGCGAGCGGTCTGCAGGAAGGCAGGCCCCCCGCGGAAACGCAGCCAGCGCGCGGACACCGCCGCCGCCATCTTTGCACCATTCGCAGGGCACGTTGGGAACGCCCTCCGCCTACAAGGTCAAGAGGGGCGGGGCGGGCGTGGAACATCTCAGCTCGAAAGGGGGTGGTTACAAGCTCACGTTTGGCAAGGATACCAACGGAAGGCTCAATACACACCACTTATCGCAAATATATTTACTTAAAGTATTACTTCTAATGTCTACGTTATAATTTTGTTTTGAAATGGAAACAGGGTCTTGAGGCTATTTTCTTCCACGCTATTTTCTTTCTTTACACCCCCGAGAGCAAAAGTGAGCTCGTCCAAGTCGGCGAGTCTCGAACGCAAGCGCAGTGGAAAACACATGGTGGCGGCGCGCTGCGAGACTCAAGTGGATTTCGCCGGAGCTGACGGGACCTTGCCTCTGGGTGACTGATCTCAAATCTGACTCGAAAGATGCTGGCCTCCAAGCACACGCCATGGAGGCGGCTTCAGGGCATTTCCTTCGGGATGTATTCGGCTGAGGAGCTCAAGTAAGGAGTTGGTGGGATGCGTGTAGAGCGTGGTTGTGGCCGCGGGCGCCGGGAACTACGGTTCCCAGAAGGCCTCGCGCCGACCCTGCCAGGGGATCTGGCTGCCTGGCGCCTGTTTGCCGGTACTGGGAAGGAATTCGCTGGAACTGGAGGTGTCCTGCCTTGCTGCATCTTAATCCGTTCATCTTCCTCGTTAACGAACCACGTTTATGTCATTTATGCTCTCATGTCCGCCACGCGCTTATCACTATCCTCTCGTCCAAGCAACGATGGACCCTTAAGTCTCAGATTAAGGCCTTGTTCTACTTTATGAAGTTATGAAGTCGTGGGAACTCTTCTTTAACCCTCATTTTGATCACGATAGCATACACGCATCTCAAACTTGCATTAAAAACGCAGCATGCATCCTCATTTCCACAGCCTCAAAGGAGCTACCATTCCAAAGTGGCGAGCCAGGTTTAATGCAAAATGAAATAATTCTAGACACCACTCTGACATCTTATTTATTAGGCTTTTGCTACATATCTAATTTGATTTTACCTTCCTTTTATCTCTACTGCCACCTCCTTAGGTCAGTTCTTTTATCATGCTCAGATTGTCTTTTTCTCCAATACCCACCCTCATACTATCTTGTACTGTCAGTCCTACAGACAGCTGTCAAAATTATCCTAAAGTGTAAATTGTAGTCATACTAATATCACCCTTAAAACCTTCCTAAGGTTGCTCTCAGAAAAAGGATACTTAGTAAAACCTACAACAGTGGTTCTCAACCTTCATAATGCTGCAACCCTTTAATACAACCCTCATGTTGTAGAGACCCCCCCAACCGTAAAATTACTGCATTGCTGCTTCATAGCTGTAATTTTGCACTGCTATGAATGATAATGTAAATATCTGATATGCAGGATATCACATATGTGAATCTCCCCCCCCCTCCCCCCAAGGGTTGTGGCTTCTGGTTGAGAGCTGCTGGTCTACAAGGACTCTTTAATGAGGCTGACATTTTTGCTCTGGTATTAAATAATTATTAATCCCTTTTCACTGTTAGGAGCTGGTAGCTTTTCATCTCCTTAATAACATGGAAGGGTCATTCTGGTCTCTGAACTTGCTTTTAAAACTCCAGTCACCTTGCTCTCCTTGCTGTTCCTCAGCACCATAGGAATTAAGGACCTAAATATACATAGTGCCATAAATAGTCACAAATGGACAAAAAAAAAAAAAAAGAAAGAAAACCTGAAAAGATGCCTAGCATCCTAAATTCAATGCAGATCAGAACCACAGTGAAATGCCACCTTAACATACCATGTATTGTCAAACAAACAAACACATATAAACCTAGAAAATAACAGGTTTGATGAGGATGGTGCTGACTTGAAAAATCCATCAACAACGTAATAATGGCATTGTTGTCTGATCTAGGAATTCTCCTGGGTATATGTACACACCTTCATAGCAGCTTTATTCACTCTTGCCAAATATATGGGAAATAGCCCATATGTCCATCAGTGGATGAGTTGATGAAATGGGATGTATACACAGCTATGCTATTGATTCAACCCTGAAAAGGAAAGAATCCCTGATATATTTATCTAGAACTTTAAGGATAGTATGCTTAACGAAACAAGCCAGTCTCACTGACTGATGCCATGATTCCATTTATTTAAATAGGTGCTGGAGCAGTTGGATTAATTGAGATGGAAGGTAAAAAGGTGGTTGCCAGGAGGTAGGGACAGGGAAATGAGGAATGATTATATAGTGGAGTTTGCATTTTACAGGATGAAAGGTTCTAGAGGTGGGCAATGCTGATGATGGCACAGTGTGGTGTACTTAATACCACTGACCCGAACTCCTAAAAATAGTTAACATGGTATGTTTTATGTTTATTTTGTTGCAGTTTCAAAAATTAGGATTGAAAAATAAAACAGCTAAGTAATTTGTTCAGTATTACTGCGTTCAAGGTTGCAGGCTGACTCCATGCTGGGGGACAGCATAGAGTTAAAGTGCTTGTTGACATTAGTTAACACCAGAAAGGTAACCACACAAATGAGCGCCACAGCAGGAGAGCTATCTCCTTGTATCTTTTTGGTCCTTGCAGTGGCACTGACCATGGGGGTCTTCCAGATCTGTACAGCTTCATTCTTTATGGACCATCATCAGTTTACCTGACCATACAACTCAATGACTTTTTAATTGCTGTTGTTCCCTCTGGAGTGCAAGTACGGGGTGCTTGCATTTACATTTATTTTCTGACCTGGTCATTCTTCAGTGAGAGGGTCCTGATGGGGAAGATAAATGCCAAGGGATGGGAAGATAGATGAGATGTCAGGAGGTCTTTCACAAGCTATACCTTATACCAAGCAAGCTTATTAGGGAATATGGCATCTTACATACTGTTTATAGGGGGAAAACAGCAAAGGGTAGCAGAGTGCTAAGTCAGACAATGTTGGAAAAGAGAACACAGGATACTTCAGATATGGCTGCTGTAAGACTGATAACCACAGCTGAAGGGGAAGAGTTGGATCCTCAGAAGCTGCACCTTGACTCCTTTGAGGCACCACTGGCTCTTCCTCTAGGCTGGCCTTACCAAGTCCACTCCTAGACAAGGACACAGAGCTAAAGTTTTCTTTATCCCTTCCTCAGGGCGTCTGGGAAAGCCTTGGGTCAGTCTGGCTCCCCACAGTTTTCAAAATTAGATGAGATATAAAAAGCAAATGAGGCTTTGTGAAGTATATTTATATGACATTCAAGAAGGATACTTTCCAACTGTTTCATTGTTGTGTGAACACCCAAATACAATTGAGTAGACCACACATGGGCTGTATAACATTTACTGTCATATGTGGCACAATGATAGGCTGGTAATGGGTACAAGACTAGTTATTTGACAGTTAAGAGACTTCATTATACAGACTGATGAAACCTTGCATAAGGAAATTGTTTGTTTATGATTTTATTTGTCTTTAATTTTCTTGAATTTGTTATTCTGTGTACAGGAGTTTTTATATGGCAATCCCTTCATTGAACAATTTGGACTTTCTAGTCAGATCTGGTTTATAACCTGCCTCTCTCACTTCAGCATCAGAGAAGTTAATAACCTGAGCTTTCCCTGGATCTTTTTTTAATCTCCTCAGGAAATTAAGTGTTAAATCCATTACTAACCCTCGCTATGTGGACAGCCTGGGAAACCCTTCAGCAAATGGCCTGTATGATTTGGCTTTGGGTCCTGCAGATTCCAAAGAAGTATGCTCCACCTGTGTGCAGGACTTCAGCAACTGTTCGGGACACCTGGGCCACATTGAGCTCCCGCTTACGGTGTACAACCCTCTCCTCTTTGATGTACGTGCTGCTCTGGGCATGTGGGTCTTGGGGTTGCTGGGCTTGTGAGGACCATCTCTTGTTCCTCTTTCTTTAGAAAGAAAAACCCTTGAGGGACCTAGTACAAGTCACCTTGAGTGCCCATTGTCCAAGATGCTTGAGACCAAATGTGTTTCGAATTTCAGGTTTTAGAATATTTACAACCTACATAATGGTGATATTGTAGGCATGGAACCCAAATACTAATATGAATTTACTCATTGTTTATATATACCTCATATATACAGCCTGAAGGAGATTGTCTGTATTTCTGATATTCCTACATTTTTACTAAAACCCATAACCCATGAAGCCATATGTTGAATTTGTTTATTTGTATGTCAGGGCTCAAAAAGTTTGGGATTTTAGATTCTCAAATTAGGGATGTTTGCCCTGAAACTTCAGCTTACCCTACAGACTTACCAGAAGAATTTCAGTTTGATTCCAGTTGAGAAAAGCCACAGCTAGATTCTGTTCATGTTAGAGAGAAATGTTTAGTGAGCCACCCAGCCACCTATCCAAGACTCAAGGTCTAATTCAGACTTAATGCACTGATTTATGCCCTTTTGCTTCAAGGGTTCTGTGCCGTTCAGAAGCTGGGTGGCAGTCACCTCCCTAGTAATAGAGGGAATTGTGGTGCTCCCAAGGCCATTGGCTTTTCAGGCAGCTCACCTCTTGGCAGGAGAAGCAGAGCCCCCAAAGGAAGACCAATAACATCAAAATGAAGCTTTTATAGACTGTCACTTGTGTATGCTTAGCTCTTTCATCAAGCAACCTAGGCTCCAGAAGTTAATCTTTGCCTGTTAAACATATTAGAGAAAGGCTATTGTCTTAGTTAAGTAGTTGGTATAAAACAAAAGGAATTCCTTTTCAGACCATGCATTCATTCTATGTGAATTTCAAATTTGAATGATTTAAAATGAAGTCATTAAAAGAAATATTTGGGAATGTTTGGCTAGTTTATAGGGTCCAAAAAGCTGTAGAGACATAGAGGCAGAAGTGGAATTCTTAAGGAAATAAACCATGGAAAGAGAAATCTCTTATACAATGAAAATCACCATGTGTACTGTGTCTCTTTATAATGTCCCATTTCTCTTTGTCCCCACTCTTTAGAAACTCTACCTCCTGCTCCGAGGCTCCTGTTTAAATTGCCACATGCTGACTTGTCCTCGGGCTGCCATTCACCTGTTGGTCTGCCAGCTGAGGGTCCTGGAAGTTGGAGCCCTACAAGCAGTGTATGAACTTGAGCGAATTCTGAGCAGGGTAGGTTGGTCATAGAAATAGGACATCAAGAGATACTTGTATGTTGTCCTTAATTGCCAACTCTAATGGTCTTCAAAACGTCTGAATCTTTTTTTTTTTTTTTTTTTTTCTTTTTTGAGACAGGATTTCTCTATGTATAGCCCTGACTGTCCTGGAACTCACTCTGTAAACCAGGCTGGCCTTGAACTCACAGAGATCCACCTGCCTCTGCCTCCCAAGTGCCGGGATTAAAGATGTGCACCAAACACTACTAGGTGACCCTTGCATCTTATAATATGCTAATAGATAGGTATTTTTCCCTGGGTCTGTGTGGAGCAGTGGTAGAAGAGGTAGATGGCAGTGCACATCTAAACTTCCAGACACATTATTCCTTGTCCAAGGGTTTCTTGAAGAATTGGCTGATTGTAAGCTTGGATCAGAAATTACACTAGCCTGTAACATGACATGCCAGAGAGCAAGTTGGTTCTCAAAGTCAGTCAAAAGGACACAGCTCGTGTGAGGGATTTACAGTGGCCAAATCTGGAACAATCAAAAATTGTAGTAAATAATTATAAGCCATTGAATCCAATAGGAATCTACAGCATTCATGAGTTCACATGGATGCAAATAGAGAATGATTTGAATGACTGATAATTTAAGTAGTGGGCTGCTGGTACACTTTACAGTACATCCTGCCACACACATACATAATCTTTATTAACTACAAACATTGAGGAAGAAAGAGTCCCTTTCTGATAGAAGAGTCTGAGTCCCCCCCATTCAAGTAGTCAGTGAACAATACTTGATAGAAAAAAATTTAAATTGTGATATGTTCTAAGCTGTGGTAAAAATGGCACATTGCTTTGGTGTTTTCCTACCACAAGGGCATTGGCTGAATGCTCATGAGAAAACATCAGACATACCTGAAAGGTTCAGGCATTATGCTGGCCTGCCTCTGTTACTGTCAGAATCTGCTCCGGGCAGTACCCGGGTCAGCCCAGGGTTCCATGGGAACTAAGTCTGCACGCAGGTGGAAAGGACCCCTTTAAATGGGTCCTGCCTCTCTCTACTCTCTCCTTCTCTGCTCTGCTCTTCTTTCTTCTCTCTCTACTCTGCCGGACCTATAATAAACTGGTTAATATGTCTAATAGTTTTATGTCTCATCTTGCTCTTCTTCTTTATCTTTCATTTAAGCAAAAAATAACAATACCCAACTTGAATATTTTGTAAAACCCTCCTTTAACTTCAGAAATGTAAAGGCCTTCAGTGACAAAGGAACTATTCCATCCTGAGACTGGCAGGCTGCCTATTGCTCTAAGAAGTACCTGAAAACTGTTTTCATGACCTATCAGCTCTTCAGAAAATTAAAGGGTTAGAAACACTTTTGTGTCACTTTTGTCTTGGGCCTTTGCAATCCTTAATTGACCCAAGTAGCCCAGCCCACAATCACTAGAAACGGATTTGTTGTTATGTTTGTTTGTAAAACCTGGAGCCTTGTTTGTGTGTATGTGCTAGGCAAGCAAGAGCTCCACTGCACCCCTGCCTGCAGCCCTAGCCCACGTCACTGTTTTGAAGCTGTAGCACAGTAACTCTGGTTTCCTTTCCTCCTTAGGTTGATTTCAGTCCTTGAAGGGTGATGTCCATCAGATATTTACTGTATTGTGCTGTTACAGTAGCTTTCCTCTTTTTCAGTTTTTGGAAGAAACTGCCAATCCTTCCGCCTTTGAAATTCAAGAAGAGTTAGAAGAGTACACAAGCAAAATTCTGCAGAACAACCTCTTGGGGTCCCAAGGTGCACATGTGAGTTACTGCCATCACCCTTTCTGTAATGCTCTCTTAGTCAGCTTCCTGGAGAAGTTTATGTTCTATGAATGTGAGTCATTCTAAACAGTCAGAATTTGTCCAGAAAGATAGCATTATAACTAAAGACAGCAGTGACATTAAAAAAACCACCTCTGCTTTTCTACATGGAAACACGATTCTTCCAAGAGTTGGCTGGTAGGACCAGAGGGATGGCTCAACAGTGAAGGGTGCATACTGCTCTTGCAGAAGACCCAACTCTGATTCCCCAGAACACATGTTGGATGGCTCATAACCACCACTTCAGTGGGATCTGATGCCTCTGGCCCCATGGTCACCTGTACATACCTGTGTATACACAGACAAACAAATTCACATAATTTTAAAACAAAAATTTAAAAAATAAAAGAGAGTCCACATTAACTCCCTTTCTAGAAACTTCTTTTTTCTTAGTTGTGTTCTTGAAAAGCATAATCCTGGCAAGTTTGCTTAAGTTTGGGACAGTGAACTCCTTGATGTTCTGACCTGTGGTGAACAGCAACTGCATCCTGGCAGAGGCTTTGGGGAACATCAAGTGCTTAGCCTGGTCCTCTGAGGGAGTGGAAGGGTTCTCTTCAGTCTCACTCTGTATCACCTCCTGCTGTCCGCTTTGCTGGTGCTTATGCTTCTGTTGTTATTGACTAGTGAATGTATAAATGCCCTGGCTCATTTCATCTGCTCATTCCATCATCAACGCTAGATTCTTGCCCAAATGATTACTGATATCAAGACTGAACAATTTGTGTTCATCTGCTGTAGCTAACTTCTCAAATGCTCATGTTAGCATATTAAGCAGATCCCAATCTTTAATTACAGTTATCTTTAAAAACACTCTCAAAGGTTATAGTATGTCAGCACCAAAGTCCTTTTCTACAAAGTTCCATCAGTTTAGGTGTTCATTCTGTGTGCCTTTAGCAAGAGAGACCTGTGAGCGGTGTTTATAGTACTGTACACAGGTTCTTCCAGGCATTTTAGTAAATAAGTGCAGAAGTTGCCTGAGGGACTAGTAAACCATAGTACAAGAACTGGTACTGGCCTACTTGGAGTTATTAGTGTTTCCATGGAAAGGCTCTGCATCAGTTCCATCTGATACTGGGTTTCATCAAAGTCAGCGTCATATAGGCGGCAGTTTCAAGATGATCTGCTGCAGCCAGACCAAAAAGCACTTCTTGAGAAACCTCAGTGTCTTGTCCTTGATGATGTTTAAAATGACCACACAGGTAGCTATTTAAAGACTATTTTGTGGGACATTTTGTTTAAGTAAGGGTATATTTTAGTAACTTTTGATGCTGTGATAAAACACCATGACCAAAGGCAGCTTAAGGATGGAGGAGTTTGTATGCACTTAATGGTTCCAGAAGTGGAGTTATAATTGCCGGAGGCCCCAGACTGAGAGATCAATCTTCAGCTGTAAATTCGAAGCAGAGAGCAAACTGGAAGTGGGGCAAGACTATGAGCTCTTAAGGCCTGTACCCACTGTTAGCTTCCTCTAGCCAGGCCAAATTCCCAAAGGTTCCATAGCCTACCCAAACAATGCCACCAACTAGGGACCAAGTGTTCAAATGCCTGAACCTGCCAGGTGGAATTTCTCATTCAAACCACACAGGATGATTTCCAATAGTTAAAATAAAAAATGAAAAACCATTAAATACATACAGATTGTATTCTTTTCAGAATGACACTGTGGTGCAGGTATGGTAGTACATATCTGTAATCCCATTGCTTGAGAGGCTCAAGTAAGGAGGTTACAAATTTGAGGCTAATCTGGGCTACAAAGTGAGACCCTACCTAAAAATAAGTAACTGTAATATTCTGACTTCAAAAAAGGTGAAAAATGTCTGCGAAAGCAGGAGCAGACTCATTGCTTACTTCTGGAAGACACATATGACTGCTAAGCGATGTCCCCACTGCAAGTGAGTATTGCCCATCAGCCTTTCCCCATTCCCTGCTTGAGCTGCTGTGGCCAATCACTCAGCACTGTTAAACGTCTCATTGGGGTTTGTTTCTCTCTGCATATGTTCCCGTGAATAGGACCGGACGATCAGTGATTCGAAAGGAGCACAATAGTAAGCTGACAATCACATATCCAGTCACAGCGCACAAAAAATCTGGCCAGAAGGATGCAGAGCCCTCAGGTAAGCAGGCTGGGTCTCTAAGGAGCTCTAGCCATGTTTCTCATGTGTAGTCTCGGGTGAGTCCTAGCTTCTTAGGGCTGGGGATGAATGTTCTGCCTTTTACCTTGAGACTCTGACAAGGGTTAGCGTAAATAACAAATCTGTGCACTGTTTTGTTTTTGTTTTCTTGGTTTATTGTTTGTTTTGGTTTGGTTTTTCAAGACAGGGTTTCTCTGTATAACCCTGGAATTCATGCTCTGTAGACCAGGCTAGCCTTGAACTCAGAGATTTACCTGACTTGCCTCCCAAGTGCTGAGATTAATGGTGTGCACCACCACTGCCTGGCTCTTGTGTACTGGTTTTTAATAAGCTTTTTATTGTGTAGTAAATTTAGACTTAGAGGATAGCAAGCACAGTGAGTTCCCATAAATTCTCTGTTTGTCCAATTGTAATGTTTTAGATTTTCCTAAGCATTCATCAGAACTATCATGGGTGTGACACTATTAACTAACTTGAACTTCACTTGAAGCTTGCCAGTTTTTCTGGTCATGGGCTTTCTGTTTTCTAGGACCCAGAGTGAGATTCTGCACCCTGTTTAGAAAGACTGCTAAGTGTTGTTTGATAGCAAACAGCTAATAGCACATTTTACCTGCAAATGACCATGGAAACATTTTTCTCTTACTGCCTCTTGACAGTTGCTACCATGACCCCCCAGGTTATCCTAGAAAATGCTAAGACACCAAAAACAGATGTTCCGAATTTTAGACAATAACTCCAGTTGGGAGGCAGGTGTCCAATGATAAAGTAGCCTTTTAGTTCCATTGCCAAGCCCATTCATTTGAAGTAATCTTTTGCTGTAACTGCAAGTATATGGTGAAACCAGAAGGCTGAGCATTGGAAACCTGTAAAAAATAGTCTGTTTTGGCTTAAGATTGGTTTTTGTTTGTTTTTTGTTTTCATTTAATAACATTTTGGTTGGGAGGAGTTTGAGACAAGGTCTCTTTACATGGTCCTGGCTGTTGTGGAACTCACTATGTAGACCAGGCTGGCCTTGAACTCACAGAAATACTCCTGCCTCTATCTCCCACATGCTGGCTTAAAGGCGTCCATGGACCCTCACATCCACATAAATAACACTTAAATATTATTTACCCATGTTGGGCTGGCGAGATGGTTCAGCAGGTAAAGATGCCTCCTGCTAAACCAGACAACCTGAATTCAGTCTCCACATGTGGGAAAAGAGAACTGAATCCTGAGAGTTATCCTCTGACCTTCACCATGCCATGCACTATTACATACACATCCACTCTTCAATAGGTAAATAAATTTTATGTTTTATTAGTTAAGGGAAAGATTTAACTAAAAGCACAGAACAGGGCAAAACAGCATTGCTATTTATGGATATTTGAGAATATGTGGAATGTGTGTTCCAACTGACAGCTATCCCCTGTGTACTAGCCCCTCTCTAGTGCTGGGAACATAAGCACAGCATAGTTCCTGCCCTGATAAATCCAGAAAAGGGAAAATTGAACAATGCCTCATTTCAGTTAAGGCATCCCAGGAAATGCTGACGTTTTTTGAGCCTACAGGATACTTAAATTAACTTTGTTCTTCAGCTGAGTGTTAGAAGTTGGCCTCTCAAATGGTAACCCCAAATATACTTTTCTACTTAATCAGTGCATAGCTAGTAACCAGCCTGTCAGGGAATTTTGCCTAGTCCAAGAAGCCACCTTTACCTACTAATGTGATATTTTTAAAGTCAGTGTATTTGAATCTGTAGAAATTTCCACACAGGGACTAGCAAGAACAAGTGGATGAAAGTGCTTAGGGTCCAAACCTATGCTCTGTCCCCAGAACCCATCCTGAAAGAAAGAAGCAGCTCCCAAAAGTTGTCAGAAGACAGCTTCCATATGTGTGACTTCTGTATGTGTGCCCGGTGGCCCATGTGTTCTCTCACACTCACACAGTAAAGAACTAATCTTCAGATGTATTACTTGTATTTCTGTGACCCTTTCTGGTGAATTACCATGTGCATAAAGATAATGTTACTTGCTTTCTTACAGTACTGGGCATTGAACCCAGGGCCTTGTTCATACAAGGTATATTCTACCAGTAATTAGTATCCCAGCCCAATAATGTTTACTTAGAAAAGCAAAACACTGGAATTGAGCTGAATGTCCAAAGAGAAGAGTATGTCAGATAAATTAGGAAACTTCCTTAGTAGAGGATTGGAACCAGGCATGGTGGCATATGCCTTTAATCTCAGCACTCAGGAGGCAGAGGCAGGCAGATCTCTGAGTTTGAGGCTAGCCTGGTCCATGGAGCAAGTTCCAGGATGGCCAGGGCTACACAGACAAACCCTGTTTCAAAAAAATGAGAAAAAAAATTGGTGATTGGAGCTGGGCATGGCAGCATAGACTATTTAAGCCTAGCTCTTGGGAGGTGGAGACAGGAGGATCAGGACTTCAAGGTTAGCCTGGCTGCATAAGATTGTCTCAGTAATAAACTGTAAGTAGTCAGATGAAAACTATGTAGCACTTGTTCATGTGTGCCTCTGATAACACCAAATGAACAGAGCTCTGATGAAAACAAATCAATGCAGCTGGGTGGTGGTGTCGCACACCTTTAATCCGAGAACTTGGAAGGCAGAGGCAGGCAGATCTCTGTGAGTTCAAGGCCAGCCTGGTTTACAAAGTGATTTCCAGGACAGCCAGGACTACACAGAGAAACCCTGTCTCAAAAAATAAAAACAAACAAAAAACCATTAACAACAGCCAAAAAGAAAGAAATCCATGTAAGATTTCTGTAGTCTTGAGGTAATATTTCATTGGGTAGCCCACCCACATTGCCCTAAAACTCATGGTCCTTCTGTGTCATCCTCCTGAATACTGAGGTATTAGGCCTGTACCACTGTGCCTGGCGGAATTTCAATGTCATGTAAAGTACTACATGAGGCAAAAGTACTAGAAAAGAATATTTAAAAGTGAAAATAGTTCCATTAATAATGTGAACTAGTGGTGATGATCTCTTGCTCTGCCTCTCTGGTTTTATATGATAGTGTGTTGTTTTCATCCTCTGGAAATTAGAGTACAGGTAGAAATCTGGGTTGAAAAGTTTGATGTTTGTGATGAAGTTTCAAGCTTTTTAGAATTGGGACAAAAAATGGCTCTATCTCGTTACAGAAGGAGTACCAGTAGCTCCAGGAATTGAAGAAGCTCTGATGGGGAAGCGAGGATACCTGACACCTAGCAGCGCCCAAGAGCATCTTTTTGCCATTTGGAAGAATGAAGGTGCTAGAGAAACAGCCTCTGTTTGTTGATTTCCTGGTTCATTTCATTAGCCCATCCTTAACTTTCTTAACCAAAGTTCTAATTAATGTAGCTCTCCCCTGAAATCCATCCACAGATCTGGGGCAAGCTTTGGGGCACATTGACTTAGAGCTATAAAAGAGCAGGGGAGGTCATACCCAACACCAAGACCTTGCTGTAACTGAGTCCAGTCACTTCTACACTGATGCATTCCTGCAAGTTTCATTATCACTCATCTTTTTTAAATGCTCACTAAATAAAGATGTTTTAGCCTGGCATGGTGATGCATGCCTTTAGTCCTAGCACTCAGCAGGCAGAGGCAGGCAGATCTCTGAGTTCCAGGCCAACCTGGACTATGTAGCGAGTTCTAAGACAGCTAGGGCTACATACTGAGACCCTGTCTTGAACCCCACCCCAGCCCCAGAAAAAGATCTTTTAAATGTTGTATGGGAATTCCTTTTGTGAATCAAAGAATGAATTTTTGTATGTTTCAGTTCCTTATAAAAAGGGACATCTCTGTTCTCTTTTGAATGCATAACAATCTATGCAGTATGCTCAAGTCCTTGCATCTGTCTTCTAAGAGGGTGTCCTGGAACACTGGCTCTGCTCACTGTATAAATGCTCACAGACAAGCGTGGTGTTAGCAGGATATCAGGAATGAAAGAGTAGGCAAGTTAGTGATATACTCTATGGGGCAGGTTTCATTTGTTTTCTCCTGTTTCCTGAAGAGCATTCTTGGCATACTTATGGAGAGGATGTTACATATCTTTTTTGTTTTCCTGAGGTTTTTGAGTCAGGGTCTCTCTGTGTAGCCCTGGTTGTCCTGGAACTCTCTCTGTAGATCAGTCTGGCCTCAAACTCACCGAGATTTGCCTGCTTCTGCTTCCCAGGTGCTGGGATTAAAGGTCACACTGCCCAGTTTATCTTTGTTTTTAAAAGGCTAAACTTTACTTTGACTTGATTTTTTTTTTCACTTCAATTAATTTTGTCTAGAGTACAAAATAGCCAGTATTTAATTATGTGTGTAAAACTACAAGTCCAGGAGGGTGATTAAAATCTCCTGTTCCTGCACAGCTCATTTCCTTGCTTAAGTAGTGTTTGTCCCTGGGTATCTTTATACTGTCTTACTTGCATACAAGCTGTTGTATACCTAGGCTGGTTTTGGTTTGTTTTGATGAATAACTTTTCTAACTACATATGATCCCATACTGTTTTTGTTTTGTTTTGTTTGTTTGTTTTCCTCAGTAATATTTTTATGTCCTTATACATAGGCTTAAATGGTCTTGTTGGTTACTTTATTTCAAACACAGGATTCTTCCTGAATTACCTTTTTTCGGGATTGGATGATATCGGCATGGAGTCTAGTTTCAACCCCAGTATGTTCTTTCTAGATTTCATAGTGGTGCCGCCCTCCAGGTAATGCCTTTTAACTTATTTTGCATGGAAAGGGTGGGCTGAGGAATTGAGCAAGGACTTTTAGGAGGGCCTGGAAGCGTTGGGGCACTGAGAAATCAAGAAACTGTCAACCTAAGGCTGCAGGTAGTGGCTTGAACAATCTCTATTATTTGGTTGTCTAGGCATGGATGTTTGTTTGAGTGGGTTGTGTTACATTAATTTAGTAAATAGGTTAAGAGGGTGAAGAATATTCATGGAGTCTTATGTTACTCTGTAGGTACCGTCCGGTCAATCGTCTGGGGGACCAGATGTTTACTAATGGCCAGACAGTGAACTTACAAGCTGTCATGAAGGATGCAGTTTTGATCCGGAAACTTCTGGCATTGATGGCCCAAGAACAGAAGCTGCCCTGTGAGGTGACAGAACTCACCACAGACAAGGTCAGGGCTGCCTCAGTGCTGATATAATAGGCTTGGTTAATGACTGGTATGATAAGAACTACACACTTGGTTCTAACCCTTTGCAGACACAGATGTTATGACTTCTGCAAGATGCTACCTTCAGAGGGCAGTACCTCTGGTGGGCAGTGTGAATAGTTGAGACAAGCACAGGCCTGATGATAGATAAATCTCAGTGTGGTTTAGGTTCTGTAAACAATGGCCATGCCAGTGGTTTTAGTTGAGTCCCTTTGGTTTCTTGGACTGATCTCCACTATAAAGTGTATGTAATTTATGGTGAGGTTTCACACGTAGGCTGTTCCGCACAATTAGCTGACAGACAAGTAACTGTCTTCCCTCAGACTCTAAGAATGTGTGTTTTAGGCTCATTAGGGTCTTAAGCAATGCAGCCAGGACAATGTAGAGTGGAATTTTTAGAATAAGGCTGTCCCCACTGACATTTCTATAGCCCTTTCACTATACTGCCTCTTATACCAACTCTGTAGTGAACATAAAGCTGCATTATGTACTTAGAACACTTGCCAAGGTCAGTCCCATCCAAAATGTAGTCAGGATGAAAATAAAAATGGCCTTCTCCAGCCTTGGAAAGATAGGCCTCTCCGACTTCCTGCTGTTCAGACAGTCCTGCTGTCAGCCAGGGATGTCACAAGGTGGCATCACTGTCCCCTGGGAACTTAGCTTTGTATGGCTCCTTGAAGCTTCCTCTGGTTCTGCTGAAGTTTACTGATGGGTCAGTGTAAGTGTGCTTTGAGCAGATCCTCAGTGTAAGAGAGATTTGTCATCTGCAGACCCTGGTCCAGTATGGGAGACAAAAGATCTTAGTATAACCAAATCGAAGGACTAGGAATAAGAACTTCATTTTCATATCCTTTTAGAGTAGAGGCAAGCTTTTTTCCATAATAACAGGACTTGATCTCTGTAGGAAAACCAGTGCCATCTTGATCCCTAAATCAGTTTCCCTTTGAATAATTAGATATACTCTTGTCTTTTCCCTGTTTGTGTTCATCATTATATTCCCATAGCAGTGTTCTCCCGGGAGCTGTTCCCAGGGACTAGGGATATACCAGTGGACAAGGTCTTGTTCATTTCAGCAGTAACCATGTGGCTCTCAGTCAGCAAATGCTATAAGCTGGATTCAGCTATACAGGCCTCTGCCATCATTCTTGTGATGAAAGGCTCCATAATGTTGCCTGCAGAACTACATGCACCTTCCTAGATGATTCCTTTATTTCTTGGTTGTGGGGACAAACCCAAATTATCACCATGATGTTCTCATCTACTGGATCATCACCTGCCCTCAACCTTGACACACTGATAATTTTTTCTCTCATTTGAACTACCGTGAAGGACATGTGAAAATATATCTCCTAGGCCATTTGCAGCCAGATGGGGCCAGTAGGTGGTGCTCTAAGGCACCCTAGGACTTCTGTAGTCTCTTCCCTTGGCAAGTAACAGGAGTGGAAGAGACAGAACTAGGATAGAAATATTTTTAAATGATTAGATAAATGGGTAAGCTTGAGAATCAGCCCGTAACTTTATCTAACTAATTTGGGACTTACAGACATGCAGTGTTATATGGCAGACATTTTTCTTTTTAAGAAATTATTTGACCTATATTAAAATAATAGTAATACTATTATTGTTATTATTTGTTGTTTATTATTATTTGGAGACAGGATCTCATGTAGCCCATGCTGGCCTGTAAGTCACTATATAGCCAAGGCTGACTTCAGCCCTCCTCCTGCCACCTTCCAAGTGCTAGAATTACAAGTGTGTACCATCACACAGTTTATGTGGTGTTGGGGATGGAGCTCAGGACTTCCTGCATGTTGTCGAGCACTGCACAGGCATTTTTATAAGTTCACTGAACCATGTTTTCATAAACCTTTAACTAAATTGGCAGTTCCACATGAAACTCACTCACCTGGTGGAAGCCACAGAAGTAGAGTGCCTGCAGGAAGGGTTGCTAAGGCACTCTCAGTTTTGGTGGAGAAGGCGTTAGGAAGCTTAAAATAGGAGCCTATGCACACCCGCACACACATACTGTTTTGTTTTGTTTTTCTTAGTTTAGTTTTGATTTTTGAGATAGGATTTTGCTGTGTAGTCCAGAAAGGTCTCAAGACTCTCCAGCCTCAGCTTCTCAAGTGGCTGATAATTACAGATGTGTGCTACAGTGCTGCTGTGCTTATAAATTCTGAGCTCGTTCTGCTGCTAAAAGAGACAAGCTAATACATATCATATATAATGGGACTGATGTATATTGATACATACTGACAAGTTTAGTTCATCATCTATCAGCTTCAAAGGCTAACTACAGTTTTGTCATTTCAAAGGCTACATATATATATATATATATATATATATATATATATATATA